ACAAACAGTGAATACTCATATAAAAACCACTCAGGAATTGGTCCAGGAATGTGTCTTGGCAGGGCAAGTTGTGAGGAAGATGGAGGAGGAGGTTGTTGCTGAACCTCAAATGGTGGAAGTGGAGAGAGCTGCGGCCTTGCAGAAACATAGGTTGTTGTTTCTGACGACTGAACCTGGAGAAAGTCAGATTTGGAGAGATGGAGTACTGTTTGGTTTGGAGATGGGAAGTTGGATAGACCCCCCCTATGCAGGGATGTTTTGACTTCTCGGATTTGGTTTTGGGTCAGGGGGAGTTTGGAGTTGTGGGGGCCCTTAACCTTGGAGGGACTTTGAAACATGCCTTCAAATATCTTTTGGATGTCAGTGCTGACTATGGAGAATGGGCTGACTTGTTGAGAAGGGATAAAGATATTGTCAAGTTGGAGTCTCCCCGAGAGAAAGGAAGGAAATTAAGAATAAGATCAGCAGAAGATAAAGTAAAGTGCAGGTATAAACATGAAGAAGACCTGCAGAAGGGACATGGAAAAGACTTAAGAGCCTCGGATAGAAGGTCACCAGGTTGATGGACTAAATGGATGGAACAGAAAGGACTGACAAAACCCGAGACCAGGAAGAAGAGACGACGGATGAAGATTGGAAGAAAGTTTTAAAAATTTCATTTAGAAAACCATTGTAAAATTAATGAGTACTAGAAAAATGTTGGAATGAAACTATTTGGCTTTAGTAGAAATGTTAAAAAGAATTATGTATAAATATGTTTTGTTAAAAAGAATTAGGTATAAATGAGATTTGAGTTTTAAGCTTTAGGGTTTTTTATGGTAAGATAAGGTTAAAATAGATTAAGGTAATTTAATGACAGAATATTGTGAAAGATGGAGAGGATTTGCTGAGATAATTAATAACTAGAATACAAAAAAGGGAGGTGTGAGGAGGTCGATGAAACAAGTTAATGAAAGATAAGGATTTGGGGATATTGGATTTGCTTTTAAAGTTTTTGTTTATTTTTGTTTTTTGTTTTTTTTTACCTTTGTTTTTATTGACTTATATTGTTTAATCTCTTTTTTTGTATACCTTTTTCCTTTTCTTTTTTCTTGCTTTTTCCTCTTTCTTTCTGTAATTTTAAATTTTCAATAAATATCATTTAAAAAAAACAACAGTCTATGAAGATGATAGGTAGGTAGGTAGGTAGGTAGATATACAGAGTGGAAGCCAGTGTGGAAATGTGAAGAATGAAACTTAAGATTAAGGAAATGAGAACAGAGAAAATAAAATTGACATGTTCACCCATCCCTACTGGGGACCATAAGAAGGAGGGTCATTTTTTAAAAATCACTCACATAAGTGATCTCAATCAGTCAGAGTGATTTCAGATAATAATTAAACATTCAAGATCCAGAGGCCTAATTTTTTAATTCCTGTCCTTATTGATTTGAGGGTGGTTGTCCAAAGCCAAATGATAACCGGTAAAAGGGCAACCAAATGGGATCTGAACCCGCTTCCAAAGCCAGCTCACCACAGAGGCAATTGCCAAGCTAAAAAATTCAAGAGGGTTAGCCCATCTTCTGTTTCTTGCGGTTAAAACAACAAAGAGTCTTCTTGCTGGGAATCACAAGTGGGGAAAGTACTGTTGTGCTCAGGTCCTGCTTGTGTGCAGGGGTGTCAACTTGAATAAAATATGGGGGCAGGTAAGCCTTGCCCCACATAATCAATCAAAATACATGGCACAGACATAGCATATGAACGGCAATGGCCATCATCTTGGGGGCAGCCCCCTCAAATATTTTAATGGGGGGGGGCTAAGGGACCTTGGCCCCTAGGAGTTGGCTCCTGTGCTTGTGGGAATCCCATAAGCATCTGGTTGGTCACTGTGAGAACAAGATCCTGGACTAGATGAGCCTTTGATCTGATCCAGCAGGCTTACGTTCTTGTGATACCTTAAAGATGGACAAAATTATTTTCTTCACACAAAAGCATTCATGGACTCAATGCCACTTTGTCAGCTGAAAGGAAATCTTCATTGGATTTTTTTTCTAATGTCCAAAACAGAGTAATATTTGGACACTTCCCCGATGATCATGACTTGTGTCCCCTTTGGCCCAAATCTGCAGCCTAACTTGAAAGTGAGACCCTTGTTGCTAAAGGCTTGTTTAGTAATAAGCTGGGTACAAAGATAGACAACCAAACTCTCTCTTTCTCTCTGCTTCCTATCTCCAGAATCCGTATTAATTCAGAGATATACTGTTCCCTTGTGACTCATGATTCAAGGCTGCGGCAAACAGGCTTTGGGGTCTTGGTTTTTTATTTTTCTGTAGAATTTGCAAGATGGGAAAACCGCAAAGGATGGAAACTGCCCCATGAGATGGTACAAAGAAAAGAACCATTCTGATGGAAACACTGTATGGTTCATCTTCTAAAAGGGAAAGAATTATCTCCTTGACCGTTGACCACATCTAACCGCTGGTCCCCTGCTAATATGCATATATTTACATCTGCACCACAGTTTAACAATTTCCTTGGAACGTCATGCCCTCAAAGGGATGGCATTGAAGTAGCCAGCACCCAGCAGGATGGCGTTCAACTGGCTGTGGCCGGCAGCCATTTTTAGTTTCTTTTAGAGAGCTGCAACCACAGTCAGTATATGAAACTACCTTATGGCGCTGAGTCAGACAACTGGCCCACCTAATTCAGTGTTGTTCGCGCTGGCTGGCAGTAGCTCTCCAGGGCTTCAAGCAGGGCTCTTTTAAAGTCCTAGCTAGAGATACCAGGGACTGAACCTTCTGCATACAACACATAAGAAGAGTCCTGCTGGATCAGGCCCATCCAATGCATCACCCTGTTTTCCACAGTGGCCAGCCAGATGCCTCTGGGGAAGTTCAAAAGCAGAACTCGGATGGAACCATTGACATTCATGAACCTTAGCTACTGGTGCCTATTAACTTCAGCAAGTTAAATAGCACTAGAACTGGATATCACCTAACAACAACAACCACTACCTATACTGGTGCCTGATATAATATTGTGTGTAGCTAAAACTTCACACGAAGCTCATACATTTGTTTTTAAAAATAAATATGCTGGGCATTATTTTCTGCATCTCCAAAATCCATTGGAACATCTTCCCTGTTCTTTCTTTTATGAGGCTGGAGAAGTGACCACGACTTCCCCTCCTATCTCATTCACCCTTTCATGAAGCCTTAATCCACAGCAATCTTGGACTCAGCTGGGTGGGTCTTGGCCTTGGCCCTCGCAGTGACAGATCATTGTGTGCGAGCTCTGTGAAGCTCTGGATGGGAATAGCCAAGGCTCCAGCTGAAACCCATAAATCTCCCCTTGAAACCACTGGGAGCTGGAACATAACCTATCTTGGCGTGTTACATGAGCTTACCTCCTCCCCTAGTGAAAGCAGCCGGCATAGAATTTCCTCCCATTCTCAACATCGCCTTGTCTTGTTTTTCAGATGGCCTGCGGTGCGATGCCCTCTCACAAACCTTCCATTTTGTCATCTGTCCTGCTTGCAGCTATTAAGTCAGAGCTGCATTCCAAAGCCATGATTCAGAACCATATTCCTTTAAATTTCTACAAAGCGGAGGTCTGATATCTTCATTGTGCCTGTGCGTGCACTTCTGAACTTTTACCTTTTCGACAGCTGTAGCATTACGCAGCTCCCTTTCATCCTCCTCGAGGTTGGTCAGATATGGGTGGATTAAGAGTCTCCAAAAGGGACGAGGAGAAGAGCTTAAAATGTTCCGTATTGCGTTCCTCACGCTGCTGCTTCTGAATTACGTCACCAAGACCTCCCAGTTTACTTATATGAGGACGCTTCCTTGTACTGACTCAGACCATTTGTCCACCCGGCTTAGTAGATTTCTCCACTGCAAAAGAAGTCTCTTCTTTTGAAGTGGGTACGGGTTGCAGTTTTAAAAGGGCTCAGCTAAACAAGGCACAAAGCACTTTCCAGTACAGTGGTACCTCAGGTTACATACACTTCAGGTTACAGACTCTGCTAACCCAGAAATAGTGCTTCAGGTTAAGAACTTTGCTTCAGGATGAGAACAGAAATCGTGCTCCGGCGGCGTGGCGGCAGCAGGAGGCCCCATTAGCTAAAGTGGTGCTTCAGGTTAAGAACAGTTTCAGGTTAAGAACGGACCTCCAGAACGAATTAAGTACCGTTCTTAACCCGAGGTACCACAGTATAATAACCTACCTCAAGGTCAGTGAAGGTCACCTGTTCATGGCCCTGGAACCTGAATGGTTGCTCTCTTGAGAATCCTGATTTCTCTCAGAGGACTGCACCATTGTGTGTGAACTGCAGGACAATGACCATCTCCTGAAGAGGCTGACAAATAGGGGTGCCAATTAATCAGCAGAAGAACAAGAAGGAAAAAAACCCCCACAGGCATTGGTCTCTTGCTTTTAATAACAGCTTGAGCTGCAGGAATTGTCAGGGGAAGCTTTCACAGTATGGAGGTAAACATTATCAGCTGCCCTTGTTTGTACATTGTGTCACAATTCAAGGAACAGCTACAGAGGCCAGCTCAAAAGTTGGCAACCTTTCTGGTAAAAATGATTGGTTTGGTCAGCTGATGTTGCCAGAAATCGGGAGTTACGTATTCTTTGCACAAAGAATATCGGGGCTAGAATCACCCCCATCACCCTACATGCTGGATTTCCATTTTCTTGGCATTTTCTTATGTGGAAGATCCTTAAAACATGCAATCCCTGACCAGTAGATTGAAGATAGGAATGTTAGAATCATACAATTGTAGAGTTGGAAGGGACCCTGAGATCATCTAGTCCAGCCCCTTGCAGTGCAGGAATATGCAGCTGTCCCATGTGGGAATCAAACCTGCAACCTTGGTGTTATCAGTACCATGCTCTAACCAACTGAGCTATCTAAGCTCAGTTAAGCTGTCTTATATTGAGTCAGACCATTGGTTTTATCTAGCTCAGTATTGTCTGCTCTGACTGGCAGTGGCTTTCCAGGCTTTCAGGCAGGTGGCATTCCCAGCCAGGGATCAAACCTGGGACTTTCTGCATGTAAGACAGATGCTGTACCACTGAGCTATGGCCCGTCCAGAATAAGATATATGAACCCGGGTTGTTAATAGTGGGTCTGAGCTCGAAGACCCAGTGAGCTGGAGAGAGATGCATGGCCTTCAGCAATAAGAGGAGGGGCAATAAGCAAGTGATCCACAGCTGAGTGTGGAGATGCCCAAGGGGAAGTGGCACTTTCCTTTTCCCAGGCTGGGAGTGTGGGAAGCGACTGTCTCATGCAAACTCAGTTCCTTTGCAGCTTGGCCATTCCATGTCCCTGAAATGTCTGTTTTCCAGAAACACGCCCGGGCAAATCAAGCCTGCTTTGGAATCTGGCAGCCCATCTTTTATCGCCTCCCCTACAGAAGTGTCAAAAGAACATGATCCTTGCTTTGGCCTCTGAGAATGTCAGAAGCAAAACAGGTTAGCGGAGTCCAGGTTGAAACGCTGGTCAGTGCCCCTTGCTTAATAACATGATCCTCAATCGAGGAGAATACTGAGGCTTGTGGAAAAATTAAACCCTCTTGTACAGGCAGAGGAAATTCCAGAGCAAATGCATTGACAGACGTGTCTTGGAAGTCGGCTAGTTACTTTGGCAAAATCCCAATTCCAAACCCCCCTCCTTCATTTCCCTGTGGTCCTCATACTTTCTCTTTTGAAAGGTTCCTGTGACCTTCACAATGAAATTGTCTAGTCTCCATATCTCTCTCCCTATTTGTCACTGTCATGAAATCTTACTTTGTTTAAAAAAAATCATTCTTCCAAGGAGCTTAAGGCAGCATGCATCATTCTCTTCTCTTCTTCCTCATGTTGTCTTCACAACGTTCCTGTGAGGTAGGCTAAGCTGAGAAGTAGGGACTGGCTCAAGAGCATGCAGTGAGCCTCCAGGCTGGATTGGGATATAAATCTATTCCCAGTCCTGGTCTGAATCTCTAATTATTATGCCACACTAGTTAGAATCCTTCTGCCTCATGGTGGCTGAGGAGGGTCCTTCAAGGGGCTGAATGGTCTACATATGGTGTAAAGTTCACAGGTTGCCCACATGTACACTAGATAGTTTGGTGTTGGGAGTGCAATGGCAGGAATAATTAAGTTTGTACCTTAAGGGTTATTCCTGTTATCAAAAAGTCAGCTAATGGAGAGAGAGTGGTGGCAGTGTGGCATACCAAGCAAGCAGAGTGTCATGATGCATGCTCTGATTGGCTGTGTAGTTCTGAGGGAGATTTTTCTCTCTGTCTGTGATTAAATATCTCCCTGCTATGTACAAAGCTTGAAGTAAGAAGTCTCTCTTTTCCATTCTCCACAAATTGTATACTGTTTTTGTTCAATTTCCTCAGTAAAGTGTGGTCAGGAATTCTGTGTTATTTAACTAACCCTCATGTCTTCTGCAATCTGAATGTACTTTGGTGTGGGCTGGAAATGTTTGATATTGCACTAGTGAGTTGTTAGGGGACCCCTTATTTCCCTCACAGAACTACAAGTTCCAGAGTTCCCTGTGAAGAAGGAATGATTGCTCAACCACTCTGGGAAGTGTAGCTCTGTGAGAGGAATGGAATCTCCTTACACACCTGGAACAAACTACAGCTCCCATGATTATTTGGGGAAAGCCAGGACTCTTTAAAGTGGTATCATAGTGCTTTAAATGTAAGATGTGAGTGTGAGCAGAGAAATACAGGGGAAAGAAATCCACACTTTCTCTAGGCTTCCCACATTCACAGGATCCTGCCCTAAGTTGTGGGCTTTTCTGAATCACCCTGTAAAAGCTGGTCTCCCGGCAAAGGCAGGATGACGCACACAGCCGCATGCAGAAAGGGCTTGTTTTGACAGAGCGTCTTCACAGCTAGAAATGATCCGAGAACAGTGGTCACTGCTGAGCCATCAAAGGCCCCTAACATCTCTGGCAGCTGCAGGGAGGGTCCCGAATGAATTCCTATCACTCTGACACCTCATCTTCGGACAAAGCCGATCATACGCTCATCCCAGTCGCCGTTGCAAAGGACCACCTTCAACGCTTTGGCTGCGAGGAGAGGCCTCCCCCCTCCCCTCCACGAACCAGTTCATTGACACTGGGGGATATATATCTCAAAACTTGGCTGAGAAAGCCAGCACACATGCTTTGAGGATTACATAAAGGGTGAACTTTGTAGGCACAAGCTCGCGTCAATAGCGGGAACGAAACAGAAAGGCCTCTATTGTTCCAGCCAGCCTTCTTAAGGAAGCTGATTGGCAGTAAAATGTCTTGAGTGACAGATGTAAGGTAACTATTGCTGGGGCCAAGGTCTCTCTGCCACTTTGATTACCTGCCATCCATCAGTTTGCTCTTTGCCTTTTAACAATGAGAGCTGCTGTTATCCCAGAATCATTGGGGCGGTCGCCTTCCGGGGGGGGGGGGGAGTAAATCACTTAACAAACTGCAAAGAAAGGTTACAATAATGGTATTGAAATGCCCAAAGCTTTCTTTTTTTTTTAAGAGAGGGGGAGAGGGAGAAGGGGATAGAAGGATGCCATTTATGCACAGTTACCTAAGGGGCATGTACACATATGAATGAACACAAAACATATACCGATACATATATGTCCATGTATGTGTAGAAATCATAAAATCATGGGGTTGCAAGGGACCCAAAGAGCCATCTGCTCCAACCCCCTTCAGTAGAGGAATATCTGTGGAATGTTCAGGGATGCAGGAGAGGATATATTGTTTGATTATATCCTTTCCAACTTGTGTTAACAAGTTCTACAATTTAGCAGAGCAACTTTCCCCTTTTAAACTTGCACAGCGGATGCATTTGCTCAGGCTCGCTAAAGCCTCTAAAATAAGTTTCATTGGTAATTTCCCCTTTAAAAAGGTAAAGGGACCCCTGACCATTAGGTCCAGTCGTGACCGACTCTGGGGTTGCGGTGCTCATCTCGCTTTATTGGTCAAGGGAGCCAGCGTACAGCTTCCAGGTCATGTGGCCAGCATGACAAAGCCACTTCTGGTGAACCAGAGCAGTGCACAGAAATGACGTTTACCTTCCCACCAGAGCGGTACCTATTTATCTACTTGCACTTTTGTGCTTTTGAACTGCTAGGTTGACAGGAGCAGGAACCGAGCAACGGGAGCTCACCCCGTCACGGGGATTCGAACTGCCAACCTTCTGATCAGCAGGTCCTAGGCTCTGTGGTTTAACCCACAGCGCCACCCGCGTCCCTAATTTCCCCTTAAGTCCCTCATAAAAGGATAGGCATGACACAGTCTTCTATAAAAGTGTAAAAAGAGTTTACTCACTCACATTCTGTTTCCAGATGGATCCTAGAAGGCAGACTTAAGTTACAAAAGTAATATACACCTGGAAACTATCCCATAAGGAGATAGCCCCTTTGTCCTCTCTTGGCTGCAAGCCAAGAGAGCATCTTAGGCTGAGCTGATATTACTTCTTTGACGAATGTGGTCAGAGAGAGAGAGATGGCTGACCAGTCCTGCTCTTTTGTTACCTGGGCAGGTGAGGTCACGCCCACCTCTAGTCACATGCAGAAGAAATCTGTCCCAGCCTGGGAGAAACAGGAAGTTCCAACTGGCTGGTCCAGACATCCCCTTTTATGTTCACTCTAGGGATGTTGTACTTGACTGCTATTGTGTTTCACATCCCACAATATGTTCACATACGTATATGCACATATGTACCTATGCATGTACACAAAACCTGAGGGGGACGCTATGGAATCCTGCTTTCAATGTGATATCCAGAAGAACTGCTTCTGCTTCAAGGAGACAGAACGCAGCATCCTGTAGAGGTTGCTGGACTACAACTCCCATCATCCCTTACAATTGGCCATGCTGGTTGGAGCTGTTGTCCAGCAACATCTGGAGGCCTGCCACATCAGCTACTCCTGCACTGAGTCAAAGGAGCAAGCCATCTGACTTGTTGCAAAGCAAAGCAGCTGCCCGTGTTCATATAGCTATAATATTTCTGTTGAAGAGTAGAAGGTCTGAGAACCGACTCTGACTTATGCCTGCATCCACAACATTCCTAGCCCTTTTTTCCACAAAAAAAGGGAGCATAGGATTCTGGACTCCCAAGAAGCTGGGTGGGTTCCAGGACCACCACTCTATCAGTGGCACAATGACTACCTTTGCAACATTGTTCCCTAAGCCGCTAACAACTCCGTGGTTAGCTGTCTGTTTGTTCATATGCAACAAATTTAACTATTCCCAATTAACTAGGGCAATCCACTGGGCCTCTCTCTCTCTCTCTCTCTTTTGGTTACGATGGCTATAATGGTAAAATCATTAAGGCCACCCACCCAAGCAACACTTGATATTCTTATTGGTTTGGCTTGGATGAAAATGAGGAATAACCAATAAGAACCGGCAAATGTTCAGATGCTCCTAAAAATATCTTGTTGCTTCTTGGTGGTCTTCAAAAAGCCACCGTAACTCGTGTCTTTGAAAGAAGCCACATGCTGTAACTCTGCACCAGTGACTCTTGAAGACGATTTGTTCATGCCAAGCTGCCATATACTGAGTCAGACCCTTGGCCCATCTCATGGCTCGTGTTGTCTACTCATGGACTGAGAGAAGCTCACCAAGATTTCAAGAAGAAAGAACTGATGATCCTCAGGATCTTTTTAAATGATCACGGCCGGCTCTACCATTAGATAGAGTGAGGTGGCTGCCTCAGGCAGCAGATGTTGAGGGATTGTAAGGGGCTGCAGTGGCAGTGATCATAGAATCATAGAGTTGGGAGGAACTGCAAGGATCATCTAGTCCAACTCCTTGCAATGCATGAATCTTTCACCTAACGTGGAGCTTGAAACCACAACCCTGAGATTAAGAGTATCATGCTCTACCAAGTGAGCTACCTCTCCATGAGGGATGTCAGAAGATTCCAGTGAAAATGGAAACGGGAGCAGAAATTGCTGACATTTGCTTATTTGTCCCATCTCCAGAATGGAAATCAATCCAGCGAACACAATTGGTATTCACTGTTGTTGCTGCTTACAGTTCGCAAACAATATGTCCCCCTGCTCCATTTCCATTGCGTCTCCTCCTGAAATGAATG